GGACGCTAGCCGGGCTGACCTAGGCGGGTGTACAGCGTCTTGAAGTTCACACCGAGGTCGAGAGCGGTCGCCAAATCGTGGTAGCTCATGGAGCGGGGCGCACCACCGAGCCTGAACTTGATGGCTTCACCGTCTGCCCAATCCTCTTTCTCTTCGTGCTTGAAGGTCGTATAGAACTCAAGCACCAGCTCGTGGTAAACCTTCTCTCGAATGGACAGCAGACGGCGCCAAGGGCGGTTGGTGGCAATGACGAGGTAGTGGTCGCAGCAATTCAGCTTCTCAAACTCCCTCCTGGACCAGTAATGATGCTGCCCAAACGAGCCGGCCAGGACGTGCTTAAAGCGATCCTGTTGGGGGCTCCTCTTAAAATCCCTGATGAACTGGTGCTTGAGGTCGGGTTTCGTCATGGTCCTAGGTGGGGTTGCCTCCCCACAAGCGCTTCTTTACCGTCTTTTAGCTGGACGCCAGTAGGTGGATGCTCGGAGAGGTGTAGAAGCGGGTTCCTTCAAGAGCGGATCCACATCGCTCTTGAGGTACAACTTCAGATGGTGGCCATGCACACGGCGGGTGTGACCACCAGCACTCATCAGCTCGACCTGGCCATCCGGCAGGATGCAAGCGAGTGAATACTCGGATGGCCAAGGTGGTCGAGGCTCGGGAAGTGGGACCCGCTCATAGTGGTCTCCGACTTCCTTGTGAGCAGGCTTAGCTACCTGTAGTTTCGGCCGCCACTCCTCCTTGATCTTTTCCTTTGGTGACGGAGTGGACGGGAGTGGCAGCGAAGGTATGGGAGGGGAATCCTGCAAAATGGGAAGCACAGAAGGATACACGACAGACTCGTGCTCCTGGTGAGAAACAGCATGCAAAGGCGATGAAGTAGGGAGAGTATTAGCAATTGAAAATGTTATTTGCTCCTCGCCATCCCTCAAGACTAAGGTCCCATCATGCACATCTATGAGATCCTTGGCGGTGGCCAGGAAAGGCCTTCCGAGTATAAGGGCACTTCTGTGTCTTCATTGATGTCCAAGACAACAAAATCCACAGGATAAAAGAATCTGCCAACCTTAACCAGAAGGTCTTCCACTATGCCCCTAGGATGAATTATAGATCGGTCAACTATTTGAACACTCATCCTTGTTGCATTGGGTTCACCTAGGCCTAGTTTCTTGAAAAATTTATACGGTATCACATTAATACTACCACCTAGATCCGCCAAGGACTTCTCTACATGCAATTTACCTATATAGCACGGGATAGTGAAACTACCTGGGTCCTTCTGCTTCTACGGAAGCTTGTTCTGCAGAATGGCCAAGCACTCCTCGCTGAGCTCCACAGTGGCCAGCTCGCTCAGCCTCCGCTTCTTTGAGAGAAGCTCCTTCAGGAACTTCGCGTACCTAGGCATCTGAGATAGTGCATCCATGAAGGGCACTTGAACATGCAGCTTCCTAAGCATGGACGAGAAGTTGCCAAACTCTGCCTCTAGCCTGTCTTTGTGAATCCTGGTGGGAAAACGGAGCTTAGGCTTATATTCGGCCACTAAAGGTTGTGGCTTTGGAGCTTGATCCTCTGGCTCCTTTTCCATCACCAGGTCTTCTTCCGGCTCAGGGGTGATCTGTGTTACCTTCTTGGCACTCTTCTGCGGTGCATCCACAGTCACAGTCCCACTTCGCAGTGTAATGGCATGCAACCCGTCCTTATGATTTCTAGGATTTGGTAGGGGTTGACCAGGAAGTGTGCCAGCCGGTCTGGAAGCAAGGGCATCTGTCAGGTGCCCGATCTTGGTATCCATATCCTGCACGAGTGCTTGCTGGTTTCTCTGGCCAACTTCAATCTCCATGAATTTGCCTGCAGTCGCTTCCATGAATTGCTCCAATTTATTGAACTTTTGGGTACTAATGCTCGCCAAGGTAGTCACTAGATCCCTCAGTTCTGATACGGGATCTCCCGGTGCTGGGACTGATGGAGGCGCACCAGGCTACTGGTACTGCTGCTGTGGGGGGTGTTGAAAAGAATGCCCCTGTCTGGGCGGATAGAGTGGTTGTTGTTGCTGCATCTGGCCCGGGCGAGGCTGGTATGGCTGCCTCTAGTTTGGAAAACTAGCTGTAGGGGCCTGGAAGGCAGGTGGCTTTGGATTGCTGTTGCCACTCCTGGAGAAATTTGGATGCTGGCGCCATCCCTCATTGTAGGTATTATTGTACGGATCGTTGTGCCTGGCATTGTTGATAAGTTCACCTCCTCCTGGGGAGTAGTCGACTCCCTCATCGCCTGACAGTCCTCCACGGTGTGATGGGAGCTCTCACACCACTGATGGAGGCGCACCAGGCTACTGGTACTGCTGCTGTGGGGGGTGTTGAAAAGAATGCCCCTGTCTGGGCGGATAGAGTGGTTGTTGTTGCTGCATCTGGCCCGGGCGAGGCTGGTATGGCTGCCTCTAGTTTGGAAAACTAGCTGTAGGGGCCTGGAAGGCAGGTGGCTTTGGATTGCTGTTGCCACTCCTGGAGAAATTTGGATGCTGGCGCCATCCCTCATTGTAGGTATTATTGTACGGATCGTTGTGCCTGGCATTGTTGATAAGTTCACCTCCTCCTGGGGAGTAGTCGACTCCCTCATCGCCTGACAGTCCTCCACGGTGTGATGGGAGCTCTCACACCACTGGCAGTGCATCACCTGTGGCTGTCCTGTACATGCAATCATCCCAGAGCGATCGATGGCTGAAACCAGCTTTGATACCACCTGCACCAAATAAGATGATTGTGTGGCTACAGCAAGCACACCCCTCCCTAGTGCTCGTCTCAATCTCCTCGCAGTTCCCCAGTCATAGCCCTGCTCTGCTATCTCTTCAAAGAGTTGATTCAGCTGTGGCGGTGTTTTGGTGAGCATATTCCTGCCACAGATCGAGTCAATCAGCTGCTTGTCTTCCAGGAAGAGGGCATGGTAGAAGGTGCCCACCTTGAAGGCGTCAGTAAAACCATGGTTGGGACACTTGAGGAAGAGACTGGTGTATCTCTCCCAAGCATCCCTGATGGTCTCATCTTCATCCTGAGCAAAGTGGGTAATTTGCTTCTGCAGGTCCGCCGTCTTGGACGGAGGATGGTAGCGAGTGAGGAACTTGTCCGCCAGTTTGGCGAACGTGGTGATAGAGCCTGGAGGTCGAGTGTCTAGCCACTCCTTGGCCTGCCACTCCAGAGTAAATGGGAAGTACCTCAACTGGATGGCATCGGCTGGGACCCCATTTATCTTGATTCCATCGATGAGCTCGTGGAATCGCCTCAGATGTGATCGCGGGCACTCCCCCTCTTTGCCACGGAACACCACCGAACTACGCAGCATGGTGATGACAGAGGTGCTCACCTCAAATTACTCGCTGGCACATGAGTGTGTTGAATGGGCGACCTCATGTCCGCGGCTCTGGCGGTCCAATAGTATCCCATGGTCTGCTCCTCAGGAAGGACTACATCATGGTCTTGTGGGTCCCCCATCTCTTCTTCGTCGGCGATTTGCAGTTGTGTTAACGCCTCCTCCGCAGCCAGTCGCGCCCTTAGAGCCCGCTTGAAGTTCCTACAAGTTCGTTCAAGCTCCTGGTCTAATGTTAGTAAATCTCCGAACTGGCTGCGGGTCATGCACTACCTGCACACAATCAGCAAAAGCAACCCGTGAAGGCACACAGGTGGAAGAGAGAAAATGCAGTAAAGAAAAAGCTAGAGTAACAAAGCAGTAGATTGACTAACTCTCGTATAACCAATCTACCACTACCGAATGATGAAGCTCTAACAACCCAATCAGATTCTATCTATCTCAGGTTACAGTAGAAACCAAGAAAAGATGATCAGACTTCAATTGATTCAATGAATCATGCATCATTCGATTAAAACCAAACAGTATAACAATCCCAAGTCATTACAATCAAGATCCCTAACACATGGAACTAGGGTTCTTCATACCCAAGTGAGAGAGGGTTCTACTCCATAGAGAGAGAGAGAGAGGAAAACAGAATACAAAGTAGTCATACTCATAACAATGGGAAGAATATGCTCTGGGATGATGATCTTCACTCCAAGGAATATTTCCAAGCTTGATTGAATAAACCCAGCTCCAAAACCACTCTTAGGGGGTGTTCTTCGCACTTTCTCTCTCTAGGGATTTGTTTTTGCTCCAAAAAGTCCATTCTCTCTCCTTCGGCTCGAATTTGGGTTAAAACCCGGAAATTCCCGACCACACGGGCAGGCCACACGGTCGTGTGGCTTTCCCAGCTGCCCATGTGAGCTGTGCAAAACGTGGCGTTTCGTTAAGTGACTTCAGGCTTCCTACAAGGCCACAACCACACGGCCGTGTGGATTTCCAGGCTGCCCATGTGAGTTCCCTAGAATTTCCTCACGGCCACATGGGTTCCCTTACACGGTCGTGTGGGTTTTAGGCATGCCCGTGTGACTTTCTCAGCTTCTCGCCAAACGTCAGATCTTCGTCCAATCGACCCCGAACTCGTTCCCAAACCTTTATTCATGTACTAGGACCTGAAATATCACAAACAAGCACAACCTAGCGTGAAATTGGCCTAAAACACGAGAATCAACATCTCAAATGGCTCAAGAATAGGGGGTAAAAACATGTGCAATTAACGGTCTATCACGTAGTATTCCCTCAGAAGAAGACTACCGATCTTTCCTTGCTAACCTGCAGGCCCGACGCCTGACTGAAATGGTCAAGACCTACCCTTTGCAAACAAGATCAGATCATCAGCAAAGAAAACATGTGAAAGCGCAGGTCCTCCCGGGGAAGTGCTGATCGGTTTCCATGCCCCTTCCTTGACAGTATCCTGGATGGTGTGGCTCAGCATCTCCATTCACATGGTGAAGATATAGGGAGATAGTGGGCAGCCCTGGCAGATCCCCCTAGATGGGGTGAAAGGCTTCGTAAATTGCCATTCTAGAGAACCTACATTGAGATGAAGACACACATTCCATGATCACATTAATGAGATTAGTAGGGAGGCCTACTTCCTGCTAGGTATCTCTTATGAACTCCCAACTCGGCCTGTCATACGCTTTTGCTAGGTCCACATTCAATATCATCTGACCTTTCTGACCCTTCTTAAGGCCCATCGAATGGACAACCTCCTGAACAATGATGATGTTACTCGAAATGTGGCAACCAGGAACAAAGCTGGTCTGAGTGGGATGGACTAGGTGTCGCATAAGGGGTTGTATCCGCTGAACCACACACTTAGCCACTGTCTTGTAGGCGGCATTACAGAGACTGATCAGCCGAAACATATTCAGAGAATCCAGACTCTCCTTCTTCGGAATGAGCACCAGGAGGGTCTCGTTAACTGCCCGAATGATCTCGGGTTGCGAGAAGCAAGCTATGACGAACTCCACTAAAGAATTCCCGACCGTCTCCCAACACTTCTGGTAGAACAATGACTGGAAACCGTCTTTTCTCGGTGCTTTGAAAGCACCCATACTCTAGACAGCTCGTTGGACTTCCTCGCCCAAGATGCTGCGCTCTAAGCCCTGGTAGTCGCGGTTATCAATGCTAGCGAAGCCTCCGGTAAGTTCCATTATGGGACCGAATTCCGCCTGGAATAGCCGAGCAAAGAACCCCATCGCCATTTCCTGAAGCAGGGTCATACACCCATTGACCGGAGTCATCCCTCAAACCCCTCACCTTATTCCACCGCCGCCGACGGAGAGTAGAGAGATGGAAGTACCTGGTGTTTCGATATCCTTTATTGATCCAAGTTGCTTGGGACTTTGGGAACCACAACAGTTGTTCTTGCCAAAGGATAGTCTCCAGCTCTTTCTAGACCCACTCCTCCTGCTCAGCTGATCCCTGAGTAGCCTGTACTTCATTCAGTTTCTCCAATTTTCTAAGTTGCTTCACCAAAGCCCTCTTCCTTTGCTATATGACAGAAAACTTCCTTGTTCCATCGGCATAGCTCCGTAGCTAAATTCTACAATGCCTGCGGCAAAACCATCCCACCCTGCCAGCTTTCCTGCATGATGCGCCCAAAGTCCTCATGGGCAATCCAGGGAGCAAGAAAACGAAAAAGACGCGCGTTCCTACCCCTTTGAACACTCAGTTCAGCACTCACCAAGATAGGGCGGTGATCAGATCCCATTCGCTCTAGGTGGCGAACATCAGTATTAGGGAAACTTGTGAGCCATTGTTTGTTGGACAGAGCCCTATCCAAGCGCTGGAATAGGTTCCCTCGCTTCCACGTGTACCGCGGCCCTGAGAACCCAACATCAATGAGCCCACTATCGTCCACACAACTACGGAAAGCTCTAGTCCTAGCCACTTGGAATTGTGCGCCACCCTTACGGTCTTGGGGACTAAGTATAGAGTGAAAATCTCCTGCGAGCAGCCAGGGACCCCTAGTGCTAGTTCTTAAGCTTCTGATTTGCGCCCACAGGTCCTGTCTGCCGGCTGAGTTAGGTCTTCCATACACCGCTGAGAGGAAAATCTCTTCACTCCGTTGCTCTCTTCTCTTACACACCATTTGAATAAGTTAGGCGGAAACATCGATTTGAGTGACTTGAAGGTCCTTCTCTTTCCATAGAACCCAGATCCCTCCTGCAAAACCAACAGCATCCACCCGGAGCACTCCATCAAAACTAGTGCTTCCAATACAGTGTTAGCAATAGCCCCACTAACACGAGGCTCGACAATAATAACTATATCCGGTTGGTGGGACCCACAAAAATAAGAAATCAAAGCTAAAAACGAATCGTTCCCTGCCCCTTGGCAGTTCCAAGAAAGAATACTAATCATAGGAAACAACACAGAAAGGGATAGGGACTTCCCTGACAAGCCCAGAGGCTAAGAGGATAACGATGGAGCTGGAGTGCTCCCCAGGGGACCAGGTTCCCCGCTACTACTCACACGGTTCCCCATGCCCACTCAGGCCGACTGGCGGCCCACTGAAGTTCCCCCTTTGTCATCCGGGCACAAGCTCGATTTGGACGGCTGTTTATCCGGATTCTTACGTTGATTCGCCACCTTTGACTTTGTGGTGGGATTGGCTCCCCCTTGGATGTTCGGTGGCCCTTTCTTCAGTTTCCCACCGGCGCTTGCGCCGGCTTTTTTGTCGTCCCTTTAGCAGAGTTGGAAGAAGGGAACTTGGTGGAGAAAGTCAGCGGCGCTCCTATCTCATTAACCGGCACAGACACTAAGCCCCTGTCAAATAGTTCAGGTATCTTTGCAGTAGCGGCGTTCAACTCACGATCCACCCCAGTATTCGCTCCCCACAGGGCCGCACGGTGGAACGGATTTGGGTGCAGTCCCACTCAGCTCAACATTACTCGGTTCAGTTCCCGTGTCCATGCAGTTTTCTTCCTGATCCGTGGCGAGTACCTGAAACCAATATCCCGGGATCGCATGAGCAAGAGTGCGCTCCTTCAGATGGCTCCCTCCTTGTTTATTCCTTCGCTGTTTGGGTTTCTCCACCATCCACTCCCCATAGACAGGCTCCTTCACCACCTCTTTCTCAACGGCAGTCTCACTCGCCTCCTCAGGGTCCGCAGAAGGAGGTTTTCTAAGCAAAGAGCACGTGGTTTTTCCATGCCCATATTTCCCGCACTCCGTGCAGATGTTGTGAAGCCCCTCGTACTCGAAATAGTATTTCTTGCAGTCTATTTTAAAACACGACAAGAGCGGTTTGGTCAAATCAATTTCCACACATACATGAGCATACTTCCCCCCGCTCACCAGTTTGGGTGGCTTGGTCGACTTTGATCGGCTTCCCCATACGGGATGCAATTCGCTCCACTGCCTTCCTATTCACAAATTCGATCGGGAGGGCAAGGAGTTTCGCCCATACTAGAGTAAAAGCAACTTCTGCAGTTTTGGGATCAAAGCCCTTACGCCACGGCCTCACCGTGAGGTAATGCTCACCGATCATCCATGGTCCACTAGTCGCTGCTCTCTCATAGTCGAGCTGATGAATGAAACGAACAACGTAAAAGCCCCACGAAATACTGTTGATCTGTAGGGACCCATCTTTTGCCCAAAGGGACTCCAGGAGCTTAGCCATCACCAGGTACGAAAAATTCCTTCCTAGAGCCTTTATGATGAGGGCAGATCGCCATTTGCGTCGGTAACGAATCTTCTCCATAGATCTGAAAGTGATTGTCGGACATCTCGGGTCATCGTCCTCCGGGACCTCGTCATCCAGATCCTCTTCCCGCATCGCCTCCGCTATGTCCTCAGAGTCGGAGTCCGCTACGTACCACATCTCCTCCGGGATAGTGTCCTGAAAGAGCTTCTTTGTACCTTGATCCTAGGAAGGCGGGATCTTCCGGCCGGGGCTCGTAGGGGTTGGGCTGGCAGTACCTCTTTCCCCATCGACATCCTTTGCTGCATCCTCCATCACGGTTTCATTGCCGAATAGCGGGTTAGTGATCAGAGATCTCAGTCTCTTCTTGGCCTGCTGTGTTTCCTTCTCCCCTTTGCCATTCGGCGAAGATGTCGCAACAACTGGACGTCTAAAACCTTGCGTAGCATCCGGGAGGTGGCAGTCCAGGGGGTCAGTCCCCGGCGCCGGCGTGCTCATGCGGCTTGCTCACAGCTCAACGTCGCAGGTAAAAAAATCACTGCTCCGAGTTTCACGGAGCTAGGGTTTTCTCAACAAAGGTCTTCCTCTTCCTCCTTTCTACTGACTTACATTTTATTAATTATTAGTATTACACTATATTTAAGCCAAACTCAATTTTTTGTTTCACAATTTGAATATTTTTATCAAATTAATTTGCCTTCATAGATACTTATTAAATTTGAGAAACTTATCAAAAATAATAAATTAACAATGTGAACGATATTTCTATATTCCATCACCAAAAGTCTGTGGCAACAATCCTTGCTAACTAGGTTAGACTTACTAATTAACTACTTTTTTAGATGATGTATATGCATATTTGTTTTTAGTGTACAAATATAGTGTTTTTGTATTAGAACTTGATTTATCAATAGATGATTTTGAAACTATTACTTTTAGGAGGAGAGAGGAAAATTATTGTTTCATGAGTGGAGGGAATGTGAGGCACAATTGAATTTGGCGGACCATTTCATGTGTGAAGGCTAGTGATGGCAATGGAGTGGGTACCTCCCATGCCCCGTGACTCATCCCGAATATCATTATATAAAATCCCAATTAAAGCCCAAATATAAACCTTAACTGGGTGCAACATATGACAAGTATGTTTTAAAAGTCAAAATCGGGCTAGTCCATGTACCCCTACTTCGATTGTTTGAAACATTATTTGGAAATTGGTTTTGGGTGGAAATTACGATTTATAACTAAAACTATTGGAAAAGTAAATGGTTTGAACACTAATTGAGAAAGCTTCACCTGACTGTTGCTCCTCTAGCTAACAATCATGGTAAGTCGAACAAATGCAAATGTGTGTAAAGCTAATTGTAAACCCTAGGGAAGAACAACAAGTGAACAATCGTCACTCTCTCGGTATTTAGGCTAAGGGATATCAAATCAAACTACCAAGGTAACTCTCTTTGCTCAATCTACTAAGAAATGCCTACTTCACCCTCGAACTATAGTTTGGATGGCCAAATTACAACCTATAAAAGGTGCCAATACGCATGAAGAGGTTTTTCCTAATTCAACCTAGGTAGGTTACATAATTGACCAAGGAATTCTAGCTTTTACAAGCCTCTTAACAAGAAGGGGATTTCCGTCTACCTAGGTCAAAATGACATAAGAATTGGAAATGCAAGAACACACACAATCTTCATGAAATTACCTCATAACTTGTATTAAAACTCAACCACACACAAGTCATTCAATCCATACAAACATTCACATAATTGTACCTCGGGTTTACAAACACCCAAGTGAAATAAAGGTCTATTCCATGCTAAGTAGAGGGAAAACACAAGGGAGAAGAGAGAAAACCATCTTGGATATGTTTGTCTTATTCCTTGTGGTGTGGAGACCAACCTTCGAGGAAGAACTTCCCAAAACCTAGCTCTTGGATGAAACCCTAATTTCTCTTCTCTTCTTGCTCGTCACTTTCTCACACTAAAAATCTGAAGAAGAAGAAGAAGAAGAAGAAGAAGAAGAAGAAGAAGAAGAAGAAGAAGAAGAAGAAGTCTTTCTCACTAGGTTCCTCCCTCTTTCTCTATCAGCTCAACACCCTTTATATACTCAGATCGATGGCGTTTCACGGTCCCAGTCCACGATCGTGAACATCTGGCCCGAACCTTGATGTCGATTAAAAACGCGCCGTTTCATTAAGAGAGTTAACAGTCCTGGAGCTGGTCATCACGGTCGAGTGTCCGTGAACTAGTTTATGCCTGAAAGATGGGCAAAACCCTTATGGACTGTGAACTCTCTTCACAGTCTATGCCTCCTCTTCACGGTTTGGATGACTGCGAGCTGCTGGCCTCCACAGTTATCTGGTGTTGTTGCTCCCTTTTGACTAATTTCTTTTCGTTCAACTTTCGTATGGTTGATTTCACCTGCCAGGATTTGAAATACACTAAAAACAACCATAACCTAGCGTAAAACCGAACCTCACAGAGTAAAGGTACCTCAAACATCTAAAGATAAAGGGGGTAAAAAGTGTACAAATAGACCCGAATCACTCTCCTACACTTAGATGTTTGCTTGTCCCCAAGCAAACCAATATCAAACAAGGTAATATCTCAACCTAACAAGATAAGTTGGGGACATATCAAAGGGCTCAAGGAGGGTGAATCTCAATGGCTATTGGGAATTAACACATGAACCGGTACAAGCAATACTGACATCCACCAAAAATGACATTCGAATGCATTAAGAATGTGCAAACGAAAAGTTCTAACCTTGTTCACCAATCAATACTAGTCTCGACAAGACTACTTACCAACCACAACTAACTATGCATAGAGTTCAAGTCCAAAGAACAAACGAATGGGCGACCTAGGTCCTCACCGGGATAAGATATGAACATGCAAAACATGAATGAATCACTAAATGTCGACCAGTCGGGTGGGGACCATTTGGTGCAAAAGATGTGCACAATCATCAACACTCAGCCCTATCTTCTCTTCACCATGGTGGCAAACTCTAAATGATAGAGTTCACGGGAAGGTTGTCATTGCTAGCTTGTCCGAAGGTCTTAGACACGGGTTCAAATGACTGGAAAGGGTCTTGGACATGGAGAAAAGGCCTTTTGGGTTGTAGCAAACATAGCATGAGGTTCCGAATCTTCACCTGAAACCAACACAAGGTCCTATGGTTTCAATTTGGACCTTCTCCTATAAGCAACGACCACTAGCAACGGCCAAAAACCACACTTCCTTTCTTCCAAACCATCACCAAACACGAACTATATTCAAGCACACTTTCTCAGCTAATCTTGCTATCCAAATTTCAATCATAGTAGTGAATGAGGTCAACAAGCAATTAGGTGTTTCAATGGCTTGAGTTCCAAGAAATCCTTTATAGAGAAAACACATAATTTCTTATGGAAGCTCTCTATTTATTTACCCCGTTTATTTCCTCTTTTTCGAATCTTTTTTTTTTCCTTTTCTTTTTTTTTCTTCTTTTTTCGAGGGGGTATTAGTGATTTAAACAAATACCACTTTAACACTTAACGACCAATGCTCTCTATTAAGAACTTCCTCCAACACTACCTTTCCATTTCTAGCAATAATCGTGCAAAATGAACCTATGTAGAACCTCAATGGAGCTCGAATTGTGAACTCCTAGACACAAGGATGACTCACAATGGTTTAGACACGAAGAAAGGATAGGTTCATTCTATCAATCACCATTAAGCTCAAAAAGCAACAAGATCTTAACAAGAGAATGAGCCTAAAGTCACACTGCTCAAAGGGGTTGACTAGGGGATAAGATGTTTCGAGACAATCAACTTTTGGGCGTGGACTAATCCTATGCCTCCATCATACTCACTAGTGATAACGGTGAATGGTACTCATCATGGTAATAGGGATCTATCACACATGAAAAAGACGTTCGACACAAAACTCACATGGCTACCTAGCCACCCAATCATCTTTTCCAATTTCACAAATTTCAATGCGTGGCAATTGTAGTCAAAGAGTAATCAAGTCAAGACATCCATTCGCACACACATGAGAACTAAACCCTTGCACCAACCTAATATAATTCTCAATCATCGTAATAGGATGCACTCGATCACAAGCAATCAATTCAAAGTGAATGGCAATAAACACGAGATTCTCCCATCACTTTGATCAAGCATTCACTCACAAAATCACATGCCAATCACAAATCATACACCCCCCCCCCCACACTTAAGCACGACATGGCCGTCAATGGACAATAAGGGTAGGGTGAAGAAGTTACCAAACCATTGGCAAGTGAAAGTTGGACAAGTTTCGGGGTGGGAGATTTGAGCTTCAAAGAGAAGAAGTAAACACACAAAACACACGCACATTCTTGCTCGAGGCGAGGTTATTACACATAACAATATTCAACATCATGATTAAACATAAGAAATCTCACAATAGTACTTGTTCACACACTAAATTAAAATAACAAAGCTCCGTGTTTCAAGTGGACAAGTGGGGCGAAAGAAATTGGTTCTGCCACATGTCTCACTCGGTCGACTACCTCACTTGAGTTGGGATCACTCATCGTCGCCGGACAAGACTCCCTGTCGTCAAGCCATACACTCTAAAAGAGTGTTGGATCTATCCAACCGTGTGAAGACCCCTGTGAACTACTCCTCGAGGCGAGGGACTCAGTCCTCGAGGTGAATTACGGATGTGGAGGGGCCGGTTTCAGTCTATGAAGACGATAGTGGTGGTGCAGTGTGCCAACGGTGATGTTTTCGTGGCTGAGCAGGTGAAACCTCTGATGGATCGGGCTCCACCGATGCAGGCTCCACATGTAGCCTCAGTGAAGCCGAAGGCCGGAGTCCTTCAAGGTAATCCACTCCCCACTATTTGTAGACCAGCTTCATGTTATGCAAGGTCTCAACTGGAAAAGACTGTATCCGGCCAATGCTGGCGCAACCCGTAATGTCGACCCCAAAATTTCGGGAATCCTCGTGATGATGTCCTCCAAGTGCATCGTGTCTACTCGATCTCGACCCAACACCCTCAAGAAGTGGTAGCGATCACTGATCCTAGATGAAGGTATGAAGGGCAATCAACCCTCTGTTGGTGACCATGTGCCCCGATTGAAGACTAGGGATCACCGACCGAATGAGGAGCGTATACAGGATCCTCCATGGTGTCCAAAACTTCACAACATTGGTGTTGGAGGCCCAGAACTGGTGGTCTCGATGCTATGGCTGGCAAATAGCACTATAGGCCTCCTAGTAATTGAAGTCTCTGGTGTACTCCTGCTCTGTCATCGTCATGACGATGGTGTCGAGGCCCATGGCCTGAGCAAACCTGTCATAGGCAGCATGTGATGTTGACCTCCTAGCATAAACTCCATATATTGCCTGTTCCTCTAGCTGCAAGGTATCCTGTGGATGAAGATGGAGTAGAACTCCATACAGAGATCTCTATAGATGAGCTTGTCCACGAATAATAGACTTTGACACTGGGGATGGATGA